GACCCACCTTCTAAAAAAATGGAAATAAAAACAAAAATAAACAAATGGGACCTAATGAAACTTAAAAGCTTTTGCACAGCTAAGGAAACCGTAAGTAAGATGAAAAGACAACCCTCAGAATGGGAGAAAATATTTGCAAATGAAGCAAATGACAAAGGATTAATCTACAGAATTTACAAGCAGCTCATGCAGCTCAATATCAAAAAAACAAACAACCCAGTCCAAAAATGGGCAGAAGACGTAAACAGACATTTCTCCAAGGAAGATATACAGATTGCCAACAAACACATGAACGAATGCTCAACAGCATTAATCATTAGAGAAATGCAAATCAAACTACAATGAGATATCATCTCACACCGGTCAGAATGGCCATCATCAAAATATCTACAAACAATAAATGCTGGAGAGAGTGTGGAGAAAAGGGAACCCTCTTGCACTGTTGGTGGGAATGTAAATTAATACAGCCACTATGGAGAACAGTATGGATGTTCCTTTAAAAACTAAAAATAGAACTACCAAACGACCCAGCAATCCCACTACTGAGCGTATAATCTGAGGAAACCATAGTTCTAAAAGAGTCATGTACCACAATGTTCACTGCAGCTCTATTTACAATAGCCAGGACATGGAAGCAACCTAAGTGTACATTGACAGATGAATGGATAAAGAAGATGTGGCACATATATACAATGGAATATTACTCAGCCATAAAAAAGAAATGAAATTGAGTTATTTGTAGTGAGGTGGATGGACCTGGAGTCTGTCATACAGACTGAAGTAAGTCACTTCTTCAGAAAGAGAAAAACAAATACCGTATGCTAACACATACACAGGGAATCTAAAAAACAACCCAACAAAATGGTCATGAAGAACCTAGGGGCAAGATGGGAATACAGATGCAGACCTACTAGAGAATGGACTTGAGGATACAGGGAGGGGGAAGGGTAATCTGGGACAAAGTGAGATAGTGGCAGTGGACACATATATACACTACCAAATGTAAAATAGCTAGCTAGTGGGAAGCAGCCGCATAGCACAGGGAGATCAGCTTGGTGTTCTGTGACCACCTAGAGGGGTGGGATAGGGAGGGTGGGAGGGATGGAGATGCAAGAGGGAAGAGATATGGGGATATATGTATATATATAACTGATTCACTTTGTTATAAAGCGAAAACTAACACACCATTGTAAAGCAATTATACTGCAATAAAGATGTTAAAAGAAAAAGGTAAATCCTTTAAATATTGTACTTCTTCCCTTAGCTTTAATTACATATCTTGTTCAACTATCAAGATGATACAAAAGAAAATCCTAAAGTCTTTATAATATTGTGTCTCCTAAAGCAAATGCTATAAATGGATGGAATTTTCAGGCAACTAGTGTTGAACAGTGAGAACTCATTCAGCATATCTTAAATTCTCCAGTTTGCTCCAACCAAGACAGATATAAAGGTAATATGCTTTGTTTGGTTTTCTTGTAATTACAATAGATTTAAATGTTTTTATCACCAATGTATCTTATTAATACCTTTTTAAAAACTACTACTTGGTATACCACAAGAAGAAGGCAAACAGGCTGTGGCAGAGGCTGTGTGTCTAAACCGCCTTCAAGGAAGACATATGAAGACAGCCCAACAGGAATCAAATGTGGAAACAAGACAGTTACAGCAGAATCCTCCAGTCAGGCTGTATTCCATCTGGCCCTCCTTGGCAGAGCCTTCTTCTCCATGGAGCATTTATCAATCAGGGTCCCAGCAAAGCAGACGGCACACTGCATAACTGAAGAGATTTTAATAAAGGGACTATTTACTAAAGCTTGGCAAGTAGAAAAACCAACAAGAGACAATGCAATACTCTCAGGCTAGCAACAATGGGGTGTGTTTTCACCCCTGGGCCTGAAAAAGCAAAGGAAAGGAAGAGTTACAGGAACCCGGAAAAAAAGATGAATAGGGAGGGCCACCTGACAGGAGTTGTGACCTTCAGATTAGGATGGGCAGGTAAGAAGGGAGTGAGAGAGGGGAACAAATCCTCCCATTTCACACTCTAGTCACACCCCCAACCTCTAACTGGAGAAATCCAACTAGATGCCAGGTAGCAAGGATCCTACGGATGCAGTCCACACAGGTATGCCTCCATGGACACACATCAAGGTGCGGAAGGGTGGGGAATGGATCTGGAGGGAAACAGAACTTATCCACTTCTGTGCAAGATCCTAAGATGAATGTGAAGCAAACTGCAAATAATATACAAGACATATCAAATAGTACAGCTGACTGGAGCAAAAGGTGTATGTACGGAATTAACGGAAGAAAAAGTGGAAATGGTAGAATGAGGTAGAAGTCACAAGTTAATTTGGTAGGTAACAGGCAACCACCGAATGTACACATACAGGAGAGTGAGATATTCCCAGAAAATGACAGCCGTTTATACAGTTTGATTGAAAGGAGCATCACTGCAATCGGAGGTCAGCTAGATTATTCCTGCACCCTAAGTATTAAGGGGGTAGTAAGAAGTAAACATTAACATTAATTTTCCCCTAGTGTAGCCCAGGTATCTCAAAAGTCTTATCCATTTAATCCTCTCCATTTTAAACTGAGTCTCAGAAAAGTAACTTACTGAAAAACAACCAACAAGTAGTTAACTGTTACAAGGACCACATTATTTCACTAACTTGTGCCGTCTTGTAAGTCTTGGCAGTAGAAAAAGAAAGTGAAGAATGGAAGTTTCAGTGACAGGCCCAGATCTCCATTAACAAGATCTCAGATGAGTCCCTTAACCCCTTCCTGGATCAGCTTCCTCATCTGCAAACTAAGGGTATCTAACAAAATTATTTCTCCCATCTCTGAAATTCTCCTGTTGTATTACTAAGACTTAATTCATCAGTCTTCCCACCCTCAAACCAACCTGCCAGTGAACACCCACAGCAACTTCATCTTCAACTCATCTCTTGCTGTAGACTATCACAGTTAAACCCAACTACAGTCTCTCCAATAAACCCACTTAGGCAAAACTCTTCAGTGAGATGCTATCCCTAATTAACCCAACCTGGAAGTGACAGGCCTTCTGGGATACTGTGATATAAGAAATACATATTTGGTCACCATCCCCAGTTCTTGGTACATATCTCCTAAAACTCTTATGATTTCCTGAGTGATAGGGTGAGAGGAGCATCTTTTGTTATTCATAATAAGCCCCTTTCAAGCAAATCTGAATTTGTATTAATGAGTTAACTCTTGGAGGAAACAGGCTGGTTGGTGTCATCCCTGATGACATATGATGTGGAGCATCTTTTCATATGCTTATTTTCCATCTGTGTATCTTCTTTGGTGAGGTTTCTGGTAAGGTCATTGGCCCATTTTTTAATCAGGTTGCTTATTTTCCTGTTGTTGGGTTTTGAGAGTTATTTGTGTATTTTAGATTACAGTTCTTCATCAGGTATGTCTTTGGCAAATATTTTCTTCCAGCCTGTGACTTGTCTTCCCATTCTCTTGATACTGTCTTTTACATAGCAGAAGTTTTTCATTTTAATGAGGTCCAGCTCATCAATTATTTCTTTCACAGATCATGCCTTGGAGTTACATCTAAAAAGTAATTGCCATACCTATGGTCACCTAGATTTTCTCCTGTATGATCTTTATTGTCATTCAGTTTTTAAAAAATATTTAATGGCTAGTATATGCCTGGTACTCAAGCAACAATACCCTCAAGCATCCTGAAGCACTGCTTTAAGAAGTTTAACTGAACGACCATTAAGGCAGTGACTCTCAACTGGGAGAGAGCACAGCCATCATGGTATAGTATGAACGCAGTGTCAAATTTAAGAGAACAGGCATCGGAATCAGACTGCCTAGATTCAGATTCCAACTATGCACTTACTACCTGTGTGCCCCTATGTCGCAACCTCCTCTTCTAAAAAATGAGGAAAACAGAGGTACCCACTGTACTTCACAGTACTGTTGTAAAATTAAATGACTTACTCCATGCTGAGCACAGCACCTGTCACACTGTAAGTGCACAATAAATGCTAGTAGTGACACTTCTAGACCTTACAAGATGGGGTTGAGGTATAGTTCGAAAAACAATATTCAAAGTTATCACTGCTACAAATTTTTAATCGTGACATTTCATTTTATTTCAGGATTTTAAGGAAGACTAAGGTATAGTCTAAAATTTTCATATTCTGTGGTCACCTAATAAATTAAAGACTCAAAATGTGGAAGGTATGTAAGGCATGTGGAAGGTAGTAAATACGAGCAAGCAGGAAAAGTATGTGGTTAAAAATCTCAATTTGATGGAAGTAGACTGTTTTTTTTAAAACACAAACTCCCATTTATTTAAAAAAAATGGTAAAAATTTTAAGTGAGAACCTCAAATCACTTAATATTTTAATATCATATTATCAGTTTTTATTTGTACTAATCTAAGAGAAGAAAAGTACACTATATTTACAAATTAATCCACAGAATTAAGAATGGTTTATTCCTCAGTGGCTTCAATAAGAATCTGTTTCAAAGAACACTGGCTAATAAAACAATCAAAGCATAATTCTATTTTCTGTAACTACAAAAATTATACATAGAAGAGGAATCAAAATTGAATACTACTTTTAAAGTACTTTCAGAAGGGATAACTACAACTAATTATGTGATATAAAAACAAGCAAATAATGTCAATTATATCTCAATAAAACTGAAAATAAAGCTGTTTCCTTATTTTAAAATTAAATTGTGTCTTCCTGATCTGAGGTTCAAATTAAATCTATTTTACACTAAAATAAAAATAAGATTTTTTAAAAAGACTATACCTGACATTTATAAGCCAACCAAATATATACCTCCTATATTGGACTGGTCAATGCACAAAGCAGTCAAGGACAAAATTTTATGATTTTTGTCCAACAATAACTTTCATAAAAATGCTTAACAACGTTAACTAAGTAGTATTTTATAATACAGTTCAAATAATATATACATGTGCTTATCTGACTTTCAACAATTACCTTTAATTGTTTCCTCCACAACTTCTACCACACGATCTATCTGTTGAACCTAAAAAGAAAACAAACTGTTAGACAAGCAATTTACATGCAGAAGAAACAGCAATTTTTGTTTATCCTTCTGCCTGAGTCAACATAACACATTTCGAAGCACACAATTGCAAGTTTTCTTTAATTAATGCATTTGGAGATATTATAAGAAATACTCCATATTGTTTTGTGTTACAATGAAGTATGAAATTATCACTCTCCTGTCCTCCAATTATAACTGAAGAAATCATATTACATTTAAATAAACTGCCTGGAGTTCTATTAGGATAGCCTATCAACATAAACTCAACACATCCTGAGATATAAATTGCAGTTTAATTAAAACATGTATCTTCACACAGAGCTTCAAGGAAAATAGCATAATATGACAACCTACACAAAAGGATACATGCTGGTATTAAGAAGATCTACTCCAGATTTTATGGTTTATTATTTTAACACTGAAACCCCTTTTAATGAATTTCTACCATGTGCTAGGTACCCCGCTCAGGTCCGTGGAATACAAAATCAAATAACAGCTCCTGCCCTAGACACAAGTGACTAAGGAAGATTTCCCAGGGTACCATGGGAACACAAAGGGAAGATAATAAAACACGTCTGAGTAATCCAGCAATGCTCCTCAGGGAACCAGACATGACTCTTGAGGGATAAACAGGGTTCAGATAGGAGAAGCCCACTAAGGGGGTTCAGTTAGAGTGGCTACAGTTTGGAAGGAAAATGAAAAAAGCAAAGACTGTAGCCCAAGAAGCTACAGGAAGGAGAGCAAGACAGGTAAGAAAAGGTCATAAGTTGATATTTCTTCTACATTTAAAATCCTCAAAATCATTATTGTTTTATCACAAAATAGAAATATAAAAAGGAAATAAAGTAACTCATAACACCCTCCATTTCCACTCCTCAGATGAAATCACTCAAAACAGTTTGATGAGTAGATACCAAGTGTTAAACATTTACATATAATTCTGTTCTGTAGCATTTTCTTCCATAACAAATTATTAGATAGACAGATAACAGATAAAATAACAGACCTCCGCTTGATTTTTTTTCTATACATCATCAATACATCTAGGCCTACTTCATTCATTTTACTAGCTGCCTAGTCTCTCACATATGGATATAACATAATGCATTCATACAGTTCAGTAGTGATGAATTCCCCTACTGATGAGCATTTTTGTCACTCCTAATCGTTCATTATTATACAATGATGTTGCAATGAACTCAACTGAGACAAGAAGAACCTTTTAAAAACACTTTATTTAAAATGCAATGTCACATCTCTTTGAAATATTCTTTTGGCCTCAGTGCCTTATAGGAAATAAGGGGAGACTTGAGAGAACACACTTGAATCCAGCTCTGCCTGTGACCACTCAGCCCAGCATGATGGTAGTAGTAACAATAATTACTGAGAAACTGTCAAAGGCAAAGTAAATCTCAGAGAAAGCTAGATCTTTAGTCCTAAACAAACCTACCTAACTGGAGATGGATGTGTCCACCTAGAACCACTGGAACCATTAAGTTCTGGTTTTATTAAGAGAATCCACGTGGCTTCCTTATAGAATGTGATCAAACCCAGGATAACAGAGAGTTCAAAGGGGAAGAAGTAGCCAGCACTGTCAAATGCTTCAGAGATAACAAGTAACATAAAGAGTAAAGTGGGTAATACCTGGTTTAACAATAAGGGGGTCAATGAACCCAGTTCAGAAGTAATGAATCCTAAATAAGAAAATGGTGACAGCTCATACAGACAATTCTTACAAAAAGCTGGGTAGAAAAAAGAGAAAGAGGACTCCTGATAGCTAAAAAAAAAAAAAAAAAATTGAGTATACATGTGTTAGTATATTTAATTCTTTCTTTCCTTCTTTCCTTTCTTTTTTACAGTTTACATGCTGAGGAGAGAAAGGCCATAGATAAAAAGGAATTGAAGGGCTTCCCTGGTGGCACAGTGGTTGAGAGTCCGCCTGCCAATGCAGGGGACACGGG